CTAATAAAAGATTCAACAAAGATTGAAATTTACGATCAAATGAGCAACAATCAGCTGTTTTTGCTACAAAATATCATATTTTCGATGTAAAACATAATTTAGAGTTTGAATAAATATTTTGTTATATTAATTTCAATCACCTAAACTGTAAACCCAGCAAAACCCCCTAATCAGAGATTAGCATTAACAGTTCAAGGAGCAATGATCAGTCATTTTGAAACCAAAAAAAAACAATTTTTTCAATGCAAAATTTAACAAGAGTTGGTTCCTATAAACAAACAAAAAAAAATAGAAAAATAGGGTATACAGAAACCCCATTTGAAAATGAAGCAAAAATATCGTTCAAGATCTGGGATGGAGATACTTAAATAAAGCTTTTATTTTTTCAAGAAAAAATAATTTATTCACATCAACAGTTCATGGGGATGAAGATAAAGAAAACTAATTTTCAAAATACACAGTAACAGTTCTAGGAGCTATAATCAGCTATTTTTGCGACAGAAAACAATATTTTCACTGTGAAAATGAACAAGAACGTATCCCCATAACCCAAAATCTGGAAGAAGAACAAACAAAAGTTAGGGTTTTAGGAAAAACCCCAATTGAAAGAGAAAAGGAAAAACATAATTAAAGATAACGGGTATAGAAATACTTACAGGGGTTCCATCAGACTTTGATTGTTGCAAAAGGGAATCCCATGATTCAATTGAATCAACCTTGACAACTTCTGGTTTCGGGGTTTCTAGATCGCCTTCCATCTCCTCTTCGTTTACAAAGATTCCACTGGCAATTTGATTAAGAACAATAAAGAGAGTGTGGATAAACATAGATTGGGTCCCATTTGTTTTCAAATCAACTCCACCCAATCCTTGAAAGGTTGCCACCTGGAATCTGTGGATTCTCCAGCCATCGGTTTGATGATTTACTTCGTGTATCTAGACAAGAATAATGATTTGGCAACAATTTTATTTAAAATAAATTTAAGATATTATATTAACTTTTATATAAAATAAAATTAAGATATTATATTTAATATCAATTTGCAATGTCGGTAGAGACCCTTCCATCTTTATAAATTATATATTCTAATTTTCTATTTTTTTTTTTAAATTTACATTTATACTTTCCATCCATCTATTTTTTACATATCACTTTGATCATTTTCATTTCAAACTTGGCAAAATATCACTTTCTCATTTTTTATTTTTAAAAATTTTGTATTAATCCCCGTAATATGTTAATATGTATGTGTGGGTATAAATTCAAAATGGTCAACATTTCGATGTAAATTTACAACTTTTGTTTGTTAATTCCGTTTGATAACTTTAATAAAAAAATCTTACTTGTTTTTATGTACATGTCAGTATAAATTCGAGTTTCTTTACGTTTCGACGTAAATTTTGTGTACGTTTTCGTGTTTAACTTTATGTACGTTTCATACGTATGAGTTCGATCACGTATAATACATTATACATTTTTATTGGACCGTATAAATTAGAGCTGGTTAGTGGTAACGATCTTATGTATTTATCTACCAACAAACGCAACAGTACGTACATTTTATTAATACAATTGTCAAAAGTCAACTTATAAAACAGATTGTCCGTGCCGCAACACACTGGGGCAATTTACTAGGTAAATCGAACATTAATAAATCTTAGTTATCATCGTACAACGAATGAGAAAGCAACGGACAACAAGTTTGTAATGACCCAAAAATCAAGGGTAAAAAATTCATTTTTGATTAGCCAAAACACATTTCCATAAACCACGAAATCCAAATACAATTGTTTTCAAAACTTATATCAATTACAATTTTATTTCAAAACATCAGTGTCCTATAAAATGCATGAGCGAGTGCACGCCGCGCCATCAAGCCTTGCCCTTGCCCTTGGGCTCAGAAGTACCTGAAACAAATCCGCAAACTGTAAGTTAATGCTTAGTGAGTCCCCCAGAGCATACCCCACACATAATCCACATACCACATAACATATTAGCTATAAAGCTACACATATCACATAAGCCATGCATACAACATATAAGGAAGCCATGGAAACCCTCCAGGGTCTTACACCTGGTGCCACGGGAACCCCCATGTGGTCTTAACTGTCTGCCATGGGAACCCCCACATGGTCTTCCTGCCTTGGGAACCCCCACAAGGTCTTCACTACCAAACAAGACATAATGCAAACTATACATGCAGATATACTAGGATGTCATGGAAACCCTCCAAGGTCTTATACCGAATGCCACGGGAACCCCCACGTGGTCTCCGACTACTGCCACGGGAACCCCCTAGGGTCTTCCATTCAAATGTCATACTAACATAATGCAAATTCAATCAACAATCCACATAACATAGAATGGGCCGACATTGGTGCCTTAGACCCATTGGTATGGTGAGAAGACTCACCTCTCGAATGCTGATCTAACAAGCTAGAATCAGATATGTCCCACGTGTTGCTCCAACTCAACTACCTATAATCATTAAATGATTAACTTGTCATAATCCCATAATCACCCTCAAAGTCAACCCTGGTCAAAGTCAAGGTCAACAGTCCATGTTGACCTCAACTCGTCGAGTGCATCTAGCAACTCGTCAAGTTCCTGCAGAGTCCAGAACACCTAAACAAACCCTAGCCAACTCGCCGAGTTGGTTCATCAACTCAACGAATTCACTTAATATCCAATTGACGGAGAAACTCGATCCGACTCGTCGAGTTGCCAGAGTCACTCGTCGAGTCCCCCTCCTTGTTTGCTTATTATGATAATCCATGGAATGCAGGGACTCTAAGGCTTAGATCTGAAACCCTAAGGTGCCTAGAAGGATAAAGTTTCCAACTTTACCTTCTAGAACTACTCTAATTGCTCTAAGGTCCTTATCAAAGGTTGGAAAGCTCAAAAGCTTTGCCAAGTGGTCCAAGACTCTAGGGATCTGGAATCCCTCATTTCCAGAAGAGTTTCTAGTCCTCAAAACGTTCCAAAGATGGAGGCTTTATGGACATACATGTCCAATGCATGTCTTTAGGTCAAAATGGTCAAAAAAAAGGGGAATATACTCTAAGAACCCTTGCATGGCATCCTTGCTTGACCGAAAGCTAGATCTAGCCCACCTTGGGACTATTTTGTCCTGGAGATCCATAAAGTTACAAACTTTATGAACTCCATGCATGCAATCAACAAGAATCATGGGAAATCAAGAGTAAACTCAAGATCTAGCCATATTCTAAGATAAAAATTGAGTCTTGAAGACTTACAACAGTCCACAAGATGATCAAGAGTGAGGGCTTGGTTTGCTGGATCTTCTCCTTTTTCTCACTATCTCCTTCTTCTTAAGCTTCAAAAGTCACTCTAGCTCATAAAATGAAAGAGAATGGGGATTAGGGTTTAGCACAGACGTTTTAGGGTTTGGAGACTGATGAAAGGTCAACCTCAAGGTCCTTAAGGAGATTATATAGGGTGCAAACCCTAAAAATTAGGGTTTCTCTTTCCAGCTCCTACTCGTCGAGTCAGCCTTCCGACTCGTCGAGTAGGACCCAACCCCCGCGTCCACATAATAGCCTCTACTCGACGAGTCGGAGCTCCCAACTCGTCGAGTCCCAGCACCAAAACCCTAACATTGAGAAAATTAGATTATTACCTGGAACGGATGTTACAAAGTTGTGCCACTAAGCCTTTTTGTATGGTAAAAGTTAATTATGTTGAAGACTACATCAATATATCTAGGGGATATAACATTGCTATTTCATGATCTGTTGTACTCTATTAAGAAGCTCCACCGCATATGGCGCAAGGAAACAAAACGTATCAAATGCAAATTGTATGAACACGTGTTGATTTTCCATGCACAATTTCTCATGTTTGGTGACCTTGTATGTAGCAACTTTTAATACAGCTTGTCCCACCGTGAAACCCCCGACCCTCAAGTCTACATGAGTGGAGTGGATACCCCTGTAAGGCTCACATATGTGTGTTTCCCTCCAACTCATCCAAAAATCAAAACGTCAGCCGGTCTAAGGGTTGACCTTCCTTCTGCGGGTCAATCAAGAAATTCACAAGAGCCTTTTTCTTGGCGACCAAAATACCCCTAACCATATTGTGCTTGTATTTAAAACCCGAGAGTTCTATGCAATGAACTGCATGCTCTCCAAAAGAGTCCAAACATGCCTTACAACACATCGGACATATCTCGTCAGCTGAGAATATTGGAATCATGAGTCGATATTTGAGTCAAATCCATCAATAGGGATAGCTAAAAGAAAATCTTAAGCATGTGATTATCCACATATTGCATAATGCAAACTCAAGAAAACATATACAAGTTTAAGAAATCAATCAAATTGGGAATTTATATTATAACCATTTTAGTTTCATGTACTAGATTACATTTCGTAAAAAAATAAAGAGAAATAAAATATAATTAATTTTATCAAAATATAACAATTGTTACCATTTCATATGAATAGGAAAATAAATTTGAAGAAAAGATAGGATGATATTTAATTTGTTATGTTATTAGTTTTAATAACGAAATTGTAATCACAACCATTTTAATATTGTTTATATAGAATTTTCTTTAGAATTCATTTATTTAATCAATTTGTTTTTAAACACGTCATTTTATAATAAATTTTAATACTTTAATAAGTATTATAAAACATTGTTCGAAAATAAATACGTTACAATATACCATTACTTAAAAAAGAATATGTTTGCATTAAAAATAATATATATAATCGTTATAAATTTAATATTTCATAAATTATTAAATATTTAATTTATATAATTAATTAGTAAAAAAATAAAGAATATTTAAAACTAAAATAATCATAATCAATTATATGAGTTATTACTAATAATTCAATACAAATGTCCTATTTTTCTTTAATTATGAGTTATTAATCAAATTAACAAAATTTAATAGTTTAGTTTATAATATCAACTTGAAAGAAAATAAGGCATCATCTTTATATAAGAAAACACTAGGAAAATGATAAAATAAAAAAATTACAAATCACCATTCATAACCAATAAGAAAAAACACTACCCGCATCTACATCAGTTACAACAAATATAAATTCACAAACCAAATCACCATACAACTACAGCTTAAACTTGTTTGTTAAAACAAATTTCCCATTCTCAACAAAAACAAATCATATTTAATAGTAGCACAAGTGTCATAGGGCATATGACAAAATTACAAATTTACCCACAACTCAAACGCGAATCAATTGGACGGCTGGTTTGACGACGCGGGATTCCAATCTCACATGAGTTGACTCGTGCAGCAAATTTCAATGCACATAGTGACTCGTTCACTGACAACGGGTCAGGTGATACATTCACAAACATCAAAGTCTTGGAGTCTCCTCCCAAACATGGCTACACAAATTGCATAATAACTTTTTATTAATACAAAAATTAATTAAATAAAAGACAAAATGTTGCTGTATTTTTTAAATTTAAAACAACATGTATACCTGAAGAAGATAAGTGAGCTTGGAGTTCCTATATGGAATATGATCTTCCTTCTTTCCAAGAGCCAAAATAACCTCACTCAATGCTGATAAACTCTTATTGATATGCTGTTACATTTTTTTTTTTAAAACATAAAAATCAAATTAATTTAAAAAATGACAATTATAATAATAATAATAAGATACTACCTTAGTTTCAGTTAATCTATCCCCAGTGGCTCCACTTTTTGAAAGTCGTTCACTCCCGGCTAAATCAATTAGATTTAAAACTCCTTGAACTCTTTGTTCCGTGTGCTATATATAATAATATAATAAAATTTGTCAAAATTAATTAAATTAATAAAAAGAAAATGCTTAAATTAACAAACTTACAGGATTCACACCATCAATATTTAATGTAAAAACAAAATGAGATCTGGATGACTGCTCGTTCATGTCTGTCCTCCCAACAGCCCTGAATGAACAATAAATAAACAAATAAATAAATTATGTTATAAAAAAAAAATTCCTATATATGAAATAAATACCTGCTTTGAGAAGCCCTTTTGAGAAGTTTTGAAACCTCATTTTCACTGGTGACATCAACAACTGTAAGCCCTTTTGTCCTCCCTCCAACCACTTCTACACTTGAAGAATCTCCGGTGTTTGATTTTAACAACAAATCACGAATTGTTTCATTGTAGATTTCCAACATTGATGCCTAAACATTTTTTTTTCAAATACGTAAATGCCACGTCATCATAATAATAAAAACTTTAATTGATATTGATATATAACCTGCATTTTGAATTCCCAACCCTGAGCAGCAAGTGTCTGACTTGTTTCAAAGATCTGTTTTAAGGAACGTGGAATAAGACCTTTACTTTCTTTTGGAATTTCGGGCCCCATCATTGTATATGTTTTCCCTGACCCTGTTTGCCCATATGCAAAAATACACACCTGTCGAATAATTTAAAAAAAAAAAAAAAAAAATCAATAATTATCCAATTTCAATTGATACTTTACTAATAAGCAATTTAGGTAAAGTAGATTGTTATTATCCAAAGAGGGAAAAGAAATAATAACCTTGTATCCATCCAAAGCACTTTGGACAAGCTGTGATATTTCCATAAAAACATCTTCTTGAGATGCATTCTGTTTAAACACTTTGTCAAATGTGAAAGGAGTTATTTGTCCTGCAATTAATAAATATGTCATCAGTTTTCATGCCAATATCACAAACAATTTAAACTTCACATTTCTCAATTAAAAAAAAATAGTTGTGGATTTGTTGAAAATGTAAATTCCAATAAGTAAAAAGAAATGAAAGTATGTTACCATTCTGAACAATTTCAATGCCTCGTTCAGCTAATTCAACTGAAGTTGGATAACAGACAGTGGCATCAGATCCAGGGGCATCATCAGAAAGCATAGGCCTCACTCTACAAAAAACTCTTATGTTCCCTTTTAGCTCCTGCAATTATTATATAAACATTAAATCCAAATAAAAATTGAGTTTTGTATCTGAACATAATTAAAAAAAGATAAAAAGGATACCAAGATAGTATTGTGAAGCTTCTTCCTCAATCTCTCCCCTTCATTTAGTTGACCTTCCTTTTCCCTCAATTGATCTTCTAATTTACAAATCATTTCCTTTTGTCCCTCGTATTCTGTTCTTATCTCTGAAGAAGATAAATCCGCCATCTAATTGGGAAAATAGTAATTATTAAAAAAAAATTCAACATTAAACATAAAATGAAAAACAATGAAGATCAAGAAACAAGTTGAGTACCTTTAGTTTTTGATTTGCAGCAGCTAATTGATGCTCAAGCATAGATATTTGCTTGCTTTGATCAGAACATGTCTCCTATAAAAGAAAAAAGAATATGTGAACATCTTGACACCTTCAATGGGTTGGTGAAAAGACAAAACTAACCTCCAAAGCAGTTGATTTCAAGCTCAAATTATGGACCTCTGCAGCAGTTCGCCCTGTATTATCTTTATATCGAAGAATTTCAGATTTTAAATCTTGTATTTCTGATAGTTGACTTTCACGATCTTCCCTTAGCTTCTGTAATTCACCTCTAAGTACCTTAACCTCATTTGTAGCATCTTCCTTTTGTTTGACTGCATTATCTAGTGAATCCTGTAATAACACAGGGTCAAAATGGGAACAATTGGGAAAAAGATTGAGATGAAATAAAAAGCTTACTTTTGCAGATGTGAACTCTTTCTGCAACAAGCTATAATGTCCCCTTAAAGTGCTGTGGTTTTCCAAGATTGCTGCTTTTTCTTTTTCCACCTGTTTGTTTGCATCAGTGGCTGTTTTAAGTTCGTTTTGAAGTTTGCTATTGTACTGTTGCAAACTTGTGTTGTATTCTTGCAACCTTTTATACATATCTTCTTGTTGTTTTACCTGAAAATCGATAATGGAAAAAGATGATTAACTTAACAGGTTATCTGTAATCAAAACTTAAAACCATATTTTGTAGTTTAACTTTTATGGTTGTAGATTCATTTGTTTATAATCACCTTGTCATTAGCAGTTGACAAATTCTGCTCAGAAACAAAAAGCTTTTCCTTTAAAGAGTCTCGATCCTTTGATAAAGCAACTGTAACTTCCTTTTCATTATTGTGTCCATCAATGGCAGCCTAGTAATTGTAAAAGAGAATTGAGGTAAGAAACAAAAAAGAGAAGGTGATAAGATAAGATAACACAGGGTTGTTAAAAAAAAAAAGCTTACTTGCTTTTGTGACTGTTCGTTTGCAAGACTTTCTTTCAAAGAGAGAATATTGTTTTCCAATTTGGAAATTGTTGAATTCAACTCTTCTTCCTTGATTTTCATTGCAGCCTCTGTAAACAAATAAAAAAGAATGTGAATATGAAATTAATTTTTATATAACGAAGTGAGTTTACTTTTACCTGCTTCCAAATATTTTGTTTCAGAAGAATCCAGCATTGTACGCATGTTATCCTTTTCCTCTAGAAGGTCGTCAAGACTCTTTTGGAACCATTTTATGCAATCATGGAGCTTTTTAATGTGTTTGGTCATCCACTCTTGTTTTAACTGTAAATACAAAAGATGTCAACCACATGGTTCAGACACATGATGAATTTATGATAACTATAAGCATAAGATAACATAACAAAGACGGACCTTTGTATCAAACTTTTTCCCTTTGAACTTGTCGTTTAATAGCTCAATGACCTCCTCCTTTGTAAATGTGATATCTTCACACTCAGAAACCTCAGTTTCAGAGGGTGCTACAGGAGCAGGAATAGAAGCATCCTTCTGATTGCTCATTGGGGCAAGTGCTTGCCTGCCTCGACTTGCAGTTGTGGAGGCCATCATCCTACCAGTACCAATTTTCCTACGCTTATCTAAAGGAGCATCATCAACTGCTCGAGTTTTCTGTACCTATATCACCAACTCAATTCAGTAACTGAAAACAATAACCCCTAAAACGAATCTATGAAACAAAAAACATGATTAATTCACAAACGGTGTTCAAATGTAAACAGACGATTGCTATAAAACATTCAGCTCCAGGTAATACAAGTCAATTTATTAAGCCAGTTTCATTTCCCTTAATTGTTGCAGTAGGATCTCCATAATGTAACAAAATGTGGTGAAGAGATGAAATGAAATCTGCAGGTATGAATGGACTTGTATATATAATCTAACTATACAGATATTCAGAAGCCCTTTTGTAATTATATAACCAATGTCGGTAGACATGAAATCACAGCCAAAATGAGAAAATAGCAAGCACACGAGGTCGACAAATGTAACTATCAAAGAATATAAAAGCATAGAAAGCAAATCTAGCAACATATACGCAAATTTCACAAATTCCAGTACATGGTTTCAAATTTGGGTTATTCAAAAACTTACATTTACAGGCGGCTTGTTTTGGTTCCGAGAACTCATTGGATTTATGTCTCTCTCCGATACAGTTGAATACGGAGAGCTTTGAGTTGTAGCCTTGAACTTGCACCAAATTTCAAGTGAATCAAACGGAAACTATGTTTGGAAGACGATAATTGCTTGAAACTTCAAGTTTTAGGTGTTCGATTTTGGGGGAATGGAACGTTAAGTTGTCGTTAGGGTTAGAGAGAGAGAGAGAGTGGAGAGGCTCCCCAAAATTTTGAAATTTTGAATTCAGATCTAAGCGCTCTTCACCAGCATAATAGAATGTTTCAGATGGGCCGGGTCACGGGCCGGGTTTAAGTTTAAGCCACATAGCTAGTTATCAAGTTAGATTATTGATTATATGTAAATTTGCATCTATTGAAAATTATGTAACTTTTGTGATATCAAATTATCAATAATCATTGATCAAGTTACAATAGAAAACGAGTTTTTGGTCAAGGTTTTTCTAAATCAGAAAAATCATACTTATAGGGAAAAAAAAAGTTACAACTAAAATGGGTGTAAATATTATCAAAGTTTATTCTACCGGGTAATTATCTAATTATTACTTTAAAAAAGGATTTTCAATGAGCTAAGATGAGCTTGAGCTTAATCTCATTTTGCCATACATTAGGGAAAGCTCGAACTCGATTTATAGTTCGATGATCGTTATAAACAATACTAAGTTAAGTAGTTATTTTAGAACGGCGGCAATTTTATTAAAAAAACTACCAAATGGCTAAAAATTACATAGATGAAATAGATATACTAGGATTGTGTAACCATCATACCCAATTAATACAACATTTTGCCTTCCTAGCCGTAATCCAGAAAAAAAAAAATGAGAAACAACAAAATCGCACAAAGCCATTTGCAAAGGCTTTTTATGATCAAACAAAAGTTTATTCCGAAAAATCCAAATGGCCCACACTAAAGTCATACGAACCGCATCGGGGTGTGCAAAACTAAACCTATCCAATTTGAACCGATCAACTGGATTGGATATACAATTATAATTGGATTGGATTTGTTTTAAATTTTCAAAATCCACTTTGATTGGATTGATTATTAGATCACCCTGAAAATCGAATGGATAACTGAATAGAACCGATCCAATGTTCATCCGATTGGATTTTCAATATTGATCCAATAAATATTTTGTAACATCCGGATTTTCCAGATACATTAAGTATTCACTTATTTTTAGAGATTTTGGGAGAGACTCGGCGAGTTGACGCTTAGACTCGCCGAGTAGAGTCGCGAATTTCCATCCAGGTTAATGACCGGACTCGGCGAGTCCATACGTGGACTCGGCGAGTCCACGCTGTTTAATGAAACCCTAATTTCTTGGGTTTGGGACCTATTTAAAGGCCCTTATGGCCTTCAATGGCGGCTATCAGTTGATAGAGAGAAACCTCAGAGTGTGTGAACATTTTGAGAGAGAAAGGGAGCCATTTTTGATCCTTGAGTGGGTGATTTTGCAAGAAGAAGGTGACCAAGGCAAGAGGAAACTGAAGAGGGTGCTAATCTGTGGATTTCAGAGCTTAGGGACTTCATCTTGAGGTAAACATTCGATCCCCTTTTCAGTTTTGGTGTAAGCTTTGAGAGTTGGGGTTTCTAGCCCTTTTTTTAGTATGATTTGTGAAGCAATTGGTCCCTTCTTGTGTTGGGGCTTCGAATCTGGATCCAAAGAGGTCCAGAGACCTTAACTTCTTGATCTTTATGGGTGTCATGGAGAGTTATGAGCTTAAGGTGGCATATTGAGGCCATTTCTTCAAATAAAGCCATTGGGTTCTTGCATGGACATCAAGATCCAAACTTTACGTGTTTATATTGCTTAAGGAGGCCAGATCTATGAGTTAGAGGAGCGGATCTGACCTCGGGAGCTCATTTGAGCTTGAGCATGGCGTGAACTCACCGAGTACCAAGAGCAGACTCGGCGAGTAGGGTTAGGGTTTCCCGTAATTCACTCAGTGAGTAACTTGCCGAGTTAGGGGAATGACTCAGTGAGTCAGAGGGGGGATAAAGGACTCGAGTTCACGACTGAACTCGCCGAGTCACATTTGTGCACTCGGCGAGTCTGGTCAAGGGTTGACCGTTGACTTTTGTTGACTTTTAGGGTTTGGTCAACAATGGGACTTGTGGACTGTTTGAAGGGTAAAATAGCCTTTTAGCCTTCTTAGAGAACATGTGAGAGTCTAGTCTAGTCTAGAGAGCCGTTATTGATTGAGGTGATTATGTTATGTGTTTAGGCAGAGGCTAGATCAGTGTATACGCGAGCGGGATATTATCCGAGACATCCGAGGTGAGTCTTCTCACTATACTTTACCTAGAGTGGTAACAGAGTTATGTGACAGAGTTATTGTATGCTATCTATGTGATTTGTGGCACGACATTATTTCTATGTGATTTATGCTGTGTGTATACCAGAGTTAGGACCGGAAGGTCCAAAGAGCTAGGACCAGAGGGTCCACAAAGTTAGGGCCCAAGGGCCCACAGAGTTATAGCCTCGAGTGACTAATGTGTGTTATGTTCTATAGTTATGTGCCAGTGTATTTGTATGCTATTTATGTGTTGAGATTTATTGTGATATGTGATATGCATGATCCAGAGTTATCAGAGTTAGGACCTTTGGGTCCATAGAGTTAGGGCTAGAGAGCCCACAGAGAGTTGGGACTGGAGGGTCCCACTGAGACACACTGACCAGAGGGTCAGCAGAGTCATAGCCTCGAGTGGCTAATATGTGTTAGAGTGGTATTTTGGGGAACTCACTAAGCTTTATGCTTACGGTGTTATGTGTTATGTGTTTCAGGTACCAGTGGTGATCGCGGGAAGGCGCCGGCATGATCTGTACACACACCCGCAGAGTTTATTATGATTTGATCTTGGGATTTGTAGTGAGATAAAATTGATACATTGTTTTTGAAAGCAATTGTGGATGAATTTATATGGTTTTAAAAAGTGAATTTGTTTTGAAAATTTGGGTGTTACAAGTTGGTATCAGAGCCTTGGTTTGAGGGATTCGGATACATCTTCGGGCGTATCTGAACTCAAACTGAGGAATTGAGAGATTTTCAAAATAAAATTTGCAAAATTTTTCACAAGAGTAAAGAGTTTTGAGACAAACAGAGCAGAGCCGTGTGTACGATCAGCCAGCGCCCGAACGGTGAATTCCCAAAATACCCTTGCAATTAGTGTTATGAGATATATTATGTTATGATATGCGATGAGTTATGCTATGCATGCTAGAGTAGACTAGGTATTCTTATTAGGACTAGAGTGGCCTGATATGTGATGCCTTAGTCTAGGAGTTTTGCTGCTAGGGATACTTGAGAGTGTTTAGATAGCAGCGAGGAGTTATGAGAGAGTTGCTAGTGAGTAGCATATGGTTAAAGAGAGTAGAGTACTTGGGACTTGGGATCCAAGGAGGAGGACTTAGAGTGAATACTGATGCGGTGTGGACGGTAGTATAGGGCCCGTACTACTGAAGACACCGGAGCAGCGCGCACCCTAAGTAAGAATCCATTGGGTACTCAGGAACAAGTAGGGTTGAGTTATCGAGTGCGAGTATACTCGATCGAGTCTCTGGTATCTTCATATTGTGTTTCAGAGACATCATGGTTGGAACACCGCACACGCCGGAGGGCAGCGGTATTAGCGATGAAGAGATTCGCAGTATGATTTTGACGAAATGACCGTGGCGATCCGGAGGATTGTGAGTAGCGGATCGAGGGGTGATGTCATGGTTCGAGTACCATGATTAGTAGCAGATCGAGAGGTGATGTCATGGTTCGAGTACCATGATTGGTGGCAAAATGAGAGGTGATGTCATGGTTCGAGTACCATGATTAGTAGCAGATCGAGAGGTGATGTCATGGTTCGAGTACCATGATTGGTGACAGATCGAGAGGTGATGTCATGGTTGGAGTACCATGATTAGTAGCAGATCGAGAGGTGATGTCATGGTTCGAGTACCATGATTGGTGACAGGTCGAGAAGTGATGTCATGGTTCGGGTACCATGATTAGTAGCAGATCAAGAGGTGATGTCATGGTTCGAGTACCATGATTGGTGGCAGATCGAGGGGTGATTTTGTGGTTCGAGTACCATGATTTGAGGCGGGTTGAGAAGAGAGGACATGGTTCGAGTACCATGAAATGTGGCGGTGAGTGCTTCTGGTTTTGCCGGTTATTCTGCAACGATTATCTAGACCAAGGTCGGATGTGAAGGAGTATGGGCCCAGAAGGCCAGGAAGAACGAGTTTTAGTGGAGCATCCCATGATAGGGAAACCGAGTTAGCTCCAAGGGATTGTTGGTGATATGCCATTCGAGTCACAAGAATCAGAGTAGAGTAGGGACGGTGCGTTATGGAGGGATACGGTCTGAGCTGGAGAGCCGGCCGATAGTAGATATGTCACTTTCCGTGACCCGAGTGGTGTTATTTCTATTTCTTGTGGGAGACGTAAGAGGTGTTGAGATTTCGGTTTCTGAGTTGGAGTGAACCCTGTGGGATCGCACTGATGGTGACTTTTCAATCAGAGTATCTGGCAGTAGGTCTGCCGCGAGGGAGTGATATAGTTTGAGCAGGTTGACAGTGGAGACTGAAATGGTCAAGGATCAGGATGCACCCTATTTGAGTATAATAGGGCAGGTGTTAGGTGCGGTATTGGGCGATCAAGAAGGGTATATCAGGGCAGTGACTCCTATTGTTTCTGAGAGGTATAAGGGGTGGAAATGTGGTTTCGGCTCTTGTGATAAGGAGCATGTTGGAACGTTGGGCAAGGAGTCAAGGATGAGGAGTATGATGGTTCATTATTTCCAGATCCAGAGTTAGTGTTAACACGGGACAGTTGGGAGGTCCGGTGAGAGTATAGTGTGAGGTCCTGAATGACTAGAGGTAGTCACGATGGTAAGTTCTGAAGGTTGCATACGAGACCTTGGTATCTGGAGTTGTTTGATCCTTGTCAGAGAAATCATCAAGCGTTGCATAGCACCTTGCGGAATTAGGTGCGATGTTACTGGTGGAGACAGCATGAGGGATAGAGTGTTGGTGCACCAATTGGTGGTGGTTCGAACCCTAAGCGGGGAAGAACCGAGTATTTGAATTGAGGAATCCGCACCTGCTGCTAGAGTTACCGAGGTTCGGCCAGCGAAGGTCGAGGCACCGAAGGCTCGCGGGAGAGCTTTACAGTTGACAGCGAAGGAGTTCCGCGCATCGCCCGATGTTGTGGCTGGTAC